TTGAGTCAACAGCAAAATAATTTACATCACATGTATAACCAAACTAATATTATAATTGGTTTCTGAAAAAGTTGGATAGTTTTTAGTTGAAGGAGTAGTATAGGAGTACTAGATAAAGTTGAAGTTGTAAGTAGAAGAAAAACAACTCCTTTTTGTTTCCATTCTTTTATTTTATTTTTTTTCTTTCCTATTTTTTCTTGAGAACAGGAAATAGTAACAAGGTCTAGGTCCTATTCCAATCTGGTAACAAGTTGAAGTATCAATATTTATCTCAAAAATGATTGAAGAAAGAGATCTTGAAACTATCTATCAGTTGAATGAAGCAATAATTCCAGAAGATATGGCTTGAAAGAAAAATCAACAATAAAAAATTAATATTCTTTCTGGTTAGAAGTCTTTAAACATAAAGTCTCAAGAAATACTCTTCTGAAAGTACTCTTGGATATTGATTACTTCAATAAAAATTAAACAATTTGTCTGGTCACAGGTAATGAGAAGTGAGAAATCATAAGAGGCTTGGGTTTTGAAGTTTACAAAAATAACCTCTTCAAGAATAGTTAGAATAGATGATAGTTTTTTTTCTTTTTTTTTGTTCAAAAAATCACTTTTTTATTTCTTTTTTCTCTTGTGTAATAACTATGGTTCTGAAAATTGGAATCGAACAAAATCGCAAGGAATCATATGAGATTCAAAACACTATTAAAAATAATGGTAGGTATACCCCACCTATTAAATTTAATATAAACTTGAGAATCAAATACAGAATTGAAGAGAATCATTAAGATCCTTAGTAGTAACTACAAGAGGAGATGACACAATTTGGATTTATGGTCGTGACTGTAAAGGTGATTTGTAGGTTTTGATTCTATTGGAAGTTTAGGATTTTAATCTCATTCTTTAGAGAAACAATATATCACCTCCATAAATCGCATTTAGAGGCTTTGGCTATTGATAAGTGAATTGGATCGGGAAAATTTATATTTTGTATGCATTATCAACTTGTAATAGTTCTTTATGATTTAATAAATAAACGATACCAACCTGATTGTAGGATTAAAAAAAACAAGCTAGTATTTAACTTGTTATATGCTTTGTATTTAAAAAATATATATTTTTTAATAAATATAATACAATAAATAAAATAATTTCAAGAATATAAATAACTTTTGAAATATAAATTAAAAAAAAAAAATAAATAAAAAAATAAAGTTATATATATTATCCAGATTATCAAAATAATTAAGATTTTTTTTAAAAAAAAAAGCTAACAAATTATAGGAAAAAAAACAAACAAAACTATAGAAATTTAAAGAATTGGCAAAAATTCACAAGTTAATTATGTAATTACATAATCTCCAATATAAATTATGATATTATTTCTTCTTATAAATAATAATTTCAAGAATAAATTCATAAAATAATAATAAAATAATATCAAAAGAAACTAAAACAATAATAATAAAATAATAAAATAATAATGAAAAATAGATAATATAATGGAATTTAATTATTTCATTACAATATTATTGGTTTATTAAAAAGTATATAATTAAATAAGAAATAAATTATTAATTTTTATATAGTATAATATATTCTATAACATGTTTATTAATATAAAAAATTTATAAAAATAAAAATAAAAAAGTTTTTTTATTATAAATAAAATTCAAATTTTTATATTACAAATTATAAAATACTGTTTTGATTATAGAATTTCTCTTAATTTTTGAATAAAAAATTTTATAGTTTGTTTTTTAAATAAAATAATATTAATATATTAATAAAAAAATTTTTTTAAAATATATATGGGGATATCCGGGTGTTCTCTAACCATACCTCTGAAAGGTAATAATGCACCTTTCCCATGACAGATGCAGTCGAGACAGGATCTAGATTAGGTTAGATAGTTTAAAACTAGTGATAGGATTTCTATCTCCTAAAGATCCTATCCAGGATGCAGATTCACCTCTGTGGTGTCAATTGGTACACTGGATAAGTCTATAGGTATAGAGCAAAATTAATTTAAATGGACCTAAGTGTATATGTAATTGGATATAAATTACTCAATAAAAATGCATATGCACAAAGCATCTTTTATCTCCAAAAAAAAAAAAAATTTTTTTAATTTAATCATATTAAAAAAACTAATCATTAAAATTATTTTATAGTTATATAAAAAAAAGAAAAAGTTATTATCTCTTTTTATAGTTGAAAGCAAAAAAAAATTTTTTGTTATTTTAATAGATAACATTAAAGCTTTCATATTATATTAGGAATATTTTGTTGTTTTCAATGTTTTTCAAGAAAATTGATAACAAGTCTCATGGTAAAAATCAATTTATTAGTACTTATTGTTATAATTTATATACTGTATTATTTTAAATCAAAGATTAATTATATGTTAGTAAGATTTTGAATTAAGAAAATACTATCGATAGAAAATATAAACCAACTGTAAAAAAAAAGAATAAATTAATTCATATTTTCAATGAATTGAAGTAAATAATTGTGTTGCTTTTTAAAAAATAAAACTTTGTTTTTCAAGTAAATCTTTGGACAAATGTAAATTGTTATATTTTTTTTCTACATTTTGAAAAATCATGACAAATTATAAACAATTCTAATAAGAAATTTTAATAAATTGAAAGCATCACTGCAAATACGCTAAAATACTGCTAGAATATTAATAATGGGCACCGAAGACATTACTTTTAAAAAGTTGAACTCGTTATCGAGGCTCTTGTTAATTTTTAATACACCAATCTACTAAAGAATACCTTACTTAAAAAAACAATTTCACTTCTAAAAAATTAATGCATCAATGTTTTTTTTTGCTTGCACATTAATGGAAAACCCGAAAGTCTCCAAGTTGATGGGTATTATGATGTAAATTTTCCTATCCTCAACAAAATAGCTAATAATAACCGATATAAAAAAATGATTATCCCAAATTATTGTTAAAATGTCTATGTCTATAAATGCGCGTGCTTAAGAATAAATAATTTAAGATCATTAATATTAATCCAACGGGATAACTTATAATTAAATATGACGAAGTTCAGCATGAAAACAAATCAACATTCGTTACATATATATATATATATTATATATATATTTTTTACCAACTCTTCCACTCGTCCTCCCATTCATCATCTTTCTTTAATTCCGATTTTCCATTTTTTCTTCGAGTGGTTGAATTGCCCAACGTTTTTGGAGAGGCCGAACGCGTATTAGCATTGAACGACATAGGAGAATTACTCCTACTGCTTGTAGGTGAATTTCTTTGTTGATAATGATTCATAGTGTCCGAGAAAAAGTCATTATCATAGTTAGTGGATTGCTCAGAATAATTGTTACTGTTACCATCCGATATTGTTCCGTAATTCGATCGGGCGTAAGATGTTGCAGTCGACGAAATATTAGAGATAGTTGAAATTCCACGTGAAGCAGTTTCGGTTACCTAGTAAAAGATACTTTAAATTAATATGTTAACGCGTATAATACGATCATCTTTATATTACAAGTCACATACCGTTTTACCAATTCCTACCATATAACCGGAAAGTTGTTGTGTGAAATCCGGATCCCTAACTTTTTCGGTTGTAGGCCTTATTACATGTTCATTTACCGTTTGTCCCAAGGTTTCCGCGCCCTGCGCCGCTAGCTTCGCACCCTCTATAACGTGATGTCCCAGAATGTTCAATCCTTTTGTCAAAGCGCCAACCGGATTATTTATCAATTCATCAAAGTCAGGAACTGAAGACGATGATGAAGGAGGGGCGTCCGAAAAAGCGGGGTTACCAAAACCAGTATATTTACCACCTTGATTTGGTGGAAGGTTTTCCGAACGGGTTTCATTAATACGTCCAAGACTTGTGAAGTATGTTTCATTACGTGACTTGTCAGATGAAAAACTGTTGCCATCGTTTGGGATTGACCCATTAGATTGATATGATTGATATGATGAGGGAGCTTCTGAATTTACGTGGCTTGTTGACTGAACCGAAGAGCGTTTATTACTCATTGAGGAAGGGCGACTCGAAGTTCGATTGGATGATGACTTTGAAGGTGTCCATTTTTTACCTTCGCATAATGCTGTTAACTTAATATTTGAAGAAATTTTAATAAAAAAGTTAAATACGGAAGAAAAAATTTTTATGAAGTTTAAGAAACCTTTTCTCGATAGGAAGCTGCAAAACTACTATGATATTTATCTCGTAAAGACATCTCTGGATAGTAATCGGGAGATGCTTCATAAAATTCTCGCCATTGTGTATTTCCACCAAGCTGAAATAAAAAAATGTAGGTTTACTTTTGACCACGCTATCCAAATTGTATTTTTGTAATAAGTCGCTACTATACCTTCATCTTTTTTATTTGATCGTCATACCATTTATCCATTGTAATAGAACGAACGAAACTGACGAATGAAACAAGAGTTGTTAATTACGTTTGATGTTAGATCCACGACTAGTTTCATTCTATGACCAGAGTTTAAATTTGAGTAGTCCAACTGGACCATACAAGATGTAATTCTTGAACCAACCTGACGTGAACACCAAATGAGCGATGAATACCAGAACATTCTAAACAAATAAAGATGCCGAAGGAGACAGAAGCCCACTGAGGATTTGGTGCACCACAATCCACACAGTTCTGCCGATCAAAGGAAGGGTGTAAATTAAATGACATGAAAAAAAGTAATAATAAAAATAAAAAGTCACCTTATTGCCATTTTGCCTTTGTACATCGTATAATACTTGCTTATATTCGGCTGTCATCGTTCTGACTGTTAGGATGACAGTGTAAAATAGAAATAATCAAAAGTTATCGGGTTTGTCTACTACAAATACATAAGTGGAAATTAACACGTGTAAACTTGTAAAACACGTGAGTCGAGTTAAATTAAAATGTAATAAGTCCTTAACAGGGAAAACAGAATAAATGAACAAACAAATACGGACGTAAAATGCTAGAATAAAATGACTCAAGATTTTCTGCAACCTAAGATCTATAATATCGCTGAAAGAAGGAATTACACGCCGAATCTCACTTCCACCGATTATGATAGTAATTTTTTGAATCAAGGAACACCACTAGTTATTGATAATGGTATGTATTATGGGTGGCTTTTGTCAATAACATCTTAAGAACACTTCTTTTCTTGAAAATATGACATTGATATTTTTTCGGTTTTTGGGATGGTCTTGTTGATTAAAAAAAAAAACACGCGTGCATTTGATCAAATTTGTCAATCTGTCATTAATCGATTAATAAAACAAAATTTCCGTTTAGGCTCATATCATTGTCGGGTTGGATGGGCTACTGAATCTTCTCCTACGCGTAAGTTTATTAGATATTTAAAATGTTCTCGAATATTCGTCACCAATTATTAACTTTTTTTTTATTAGTACAATTCGACAACCTGGTGTCGAAATATAGAGATCGCAAGCTAAATCAGAGCATGCTGATAGTTGGTAACGACATTTACACGGATGCAACAGCGAAAACAAATGCAAAATCTGCCTTTGATGGAAATGTCGTTTATAACTTTGAGACTATGGTAAAGTTGAATTGATTTTTTTATCATTTAGAGACATTTAAATTGACTTGCATCTTTCATTAAATTCACACAGGAGTACACTTTGGATTACATATTCGTAAAACTCGGAATAACTACTGAAACGGTAGACCACCCAATTTTAATGACTGAACCTATTTGTAATCCAAGTCATTCAAGGAAATGTGAGTTATCATACTTTTTTTGATATAACGTATAAGTTTTTTTAAATTATTTCTTTTATAGTGATGTCTGAATTGTTATTCGAATGCTACCGCGTACCTTCTGTGTGTTACGGTATTGATGCCCTCTTTAGCTACCATGCAAATGGTTTATCGCTAGATGGAGGGATCATCATCTCTTCTGGTCATACAACCACACATGTTATACCAGTAGTCGGTGGTCGTGGGGTTTTGGAACAAACCAAAAGGTTTTGTTTGTATGATTTAACTTCACATGATAATAAATTCTCTATGCTTCTAAACTTATAATATATTAATTAGGATATCATATGGAGGACTGACGTCCACCGATTATATGTTGAAGTTAATGCAACTTAAATATCCGACTTTTCCAACGAAGATGACTGTTAATCAAGCGCAAGTTGGTGATTTCCTTCGTGTCATGCCATTAATTGAATTTCGGATTTAATGTGTTATTATTTATTTTTTATTACATTTCCGCGTCATGTAGTATCTAGTGCATAATTATACTTATGTGGCGGAAGATTATTTTTCAGAGTTAAAGGAATATTCAAATCCAACATCATTCGCTGAAAGAGATCGGATTATTCAATTTCCTTATGTCCCACCAGTAAGTGAAAAAATTTCTATTATCATTATTCCTTGATTAAATTAATCGATTCTATCATTACCTCATGATAGGCAAATGAAAAAACTGAAGAAGAATTGGCCAGGGCGGAAGAAAGAAAACAAGAACAAGCACGTCGATTGAAGGAGCAGGCAGCAAGATTGCGCGAGAAAAAGGTGACTAACACTTTTTGTTGGATGTAACAATACTCATCAAATTTAATTTCCAATTGTCTAATCTTATGATATTAGTTGAGAGATCTTGAAGCCACTTTATCTTCCTATACGGAACTAAAAACAAGTAAATCATCGATAAGAAAGTCAGAATTTATGGTAATAGTAAAGTAAAATTATATCTTTATCAGGTTATTTTCTTCTTTAATTCTGATTTTTGAATAACAGGCGAGACTTAAAGAAAACAGGATAAGTGACGAGTCAGAATTAGACGAGTTAATCCAAAAGACCGAGAAATCAGTTCAACGAGCAAGAAACAAACTACTGGGTATAGATGAAGTTGAAATAAAGGTATATAACCTATTTTTTGGATACCATTGGTGTTCTTTGGCTTCCGAAAAACGTTGCTCATTTACATCAATTGATCTTAGGAAGAACCTACCTTTCCGTTGGTAGATATCCCAGATGATCAATTAAACGACTCCGAGAAAAAAGAAAAAAAGAAGCAGATTGCAGCAAAAAGTCTTCACGAGTCGCGGCAAAGACAGAGGGAGGCTAAAGAACTAGTTAGAAGGCAGCATGTAAATTCTTGGTTTTTATTAGTACGGGACCTCTCTCATTAAAGAACATAATAGCTGATCTTCGCTTCATGTTTAGGAAGCAGAAGAAAAAATGGAGGAACAAAAGCGACAAACTGATTTTGAAGGATGGTTAAGCGAATTGAAGCGTAATTATCAGGTAATCAATTTCGAGTACCATTGCATATACATGGAAAACATATTAATAACATAGCGATGTTGATTAAATAGGCTCAGCTTGAAAAAGTAAAGAGTCTAAAGCGGAAAAAAGAGCAACTCTCGGATCGAAGGAGTCACGCTTCACAATTACGAATGAAGTCGATAGCAAATTTG